TCCATGCCAAATTGTTCTCCACAGAGGTGTTAGTGACTTACAGTCAGCAAGGCCCGTCTCTTCACAGCTCCACCTATAGAAGATTGTTCATACTTTTGGGTTTTTACCAACTTGTCAGATGAGAGTTAAGCTTGCAGTGGAATTTTTTTTTATTTTTTTGTGAGCAAGGTAGTGCATCTTTTCTTGGGGTGGAGGCATTGGTATTTCCTTTTATAGCTTCCTTATGTTAATTTTTTAATTTGCCAATTTCTGGGAGCTCTTAATATATTAAGGTTACCTTTTGTGACATGGATTGCCAGCAATTTCCCCAGGTTTTTGTAATTTAAAAAAAAATATTAACTTATTTGAAAGAGTTACAGAGAGGCAGAGGCAAAGAGAGAGAGAGAGAGGGGTCTTCCATCCACTGGTCCACTCCCCAAATGGCTGGAGCTAGATCTGTCTGGAGCCAGGAACTTGCTGTGGGTCTCCCATGGGGGTACAGGGGCCCTAGGACTTGGGCCATCTTTTGCTGCTTTCCCAGGCCATAGCAGAGAACTGGATCAGAAGTGGAGCAGCCGGGTATCGAATTGGCACACATTTGGGATGCCAGCATCACAGGCAGTGGCTTTACTAGTATGCCACAGCGCTGGCTTGTGTTTTTTGTCTTGAAGAGTCTTGATTTTTATATTATTGAATTTCATCAGTGTTTTGTCTTGATGGTTTTTGCATAATTGTAGCCCACCTTTTTTTTTTTAAGGATTTATTTATTTAATTGAAAGTCAGCGTTACTGAGGGGCAGGAGGTGGGGTGGAGAGGGGAGAGATATCTTTCATCTGCTGGTTCACTCCCAAATGATTTCAGTGGCCCAGGCTGGGCCAGACTGAAGCCAGGAACCTAAGACTATATCCAAGTCTCCCACACGGGTGCAGGAGCCCAAGCACTTGGGCCATCTTCCACTGCTTTCTCAGGCACATTAGCAGGAAGCTGGATCGGAAGTCGAGCAGCCAGAACTTGAACCAGTGCCCATATGGGATTCCAGCATTGCAGGCAGAGGTTTAACCTGCTGCACCACAGTGCCGGTCCTGCACTAACCCATTATAATGGTACAGAATCATTCATTCTTTGTTCCATGGTGGCTCTTTTAATCTTAGATTGACAGCAAAAAGCTTTTGGTATCATCCCCCAAGTTTTCATCCCCAAAACTGTGTTCATTGCAGTGATAAGGCAGCCATTGATGATTTTGTGAGGGGATTGTAGTGGCCTGAAAAAAAAATCCCCATTGTATTAGTGCAGGCACTCTGAGAAATCAGCAGTTTATGATACAAGTAAATATTCATGACCCAACATTTGGATTTTTTGGGCATTTATCCCAGAGAAAGGAAAGTGTATGTTTACACAAAAACCTGTATATGACTGCTCACAGCAGCTTTGTTAGTAATACCCCGAACTGGAAACAACCCAAATGTCCTTCAGTGAGTGAATGGTTCAACAAGCTCTAGCACATATATACCCTGGAATACTACACAGAAATGAAAGAGTGAACTACTGAGACCTCTGTAAAAGAGATGACTTCCTGACTTGTTAGCTTGAGTGAAAAAAAACTCCAAAGGTTATGTATTGTTTTATTCCATTTATATGGCATTTTTGAAAAGAAAAACCTTTTAAAATGGTGAATAGAGGAGTGGTTGCAGGGTGTAAGGATCGAGAGGGAAATGGGAGAGAGTTATATATGGTTATAAAAGCAACACAGAAACTTTTGTGGTGATGGAACTTTGCAGTATCTGACTATGGTGGGGGAAACATCTTCCACCTGTGGAAAAAATTGTATAGAAGTAAATAAACAGGCATGAGTATGTGTAGCAGAATGGGGTGAATCTGAATGACATCAGTGAATTATACCACTGTCAGTATCCCGAGTGTGGTATTATACTATAGTTCTGTAAGGTGCTGCAACTAGGGGAAATGGGATAAAATGTACACTTTATCCTAAAATAAATTTTATCCTAAAAAAAGTAGACCCTTATTTCTGCCAATAGCAGATTCTCCAAAAGATACCACCTGGAGGCAGGTTGAATTTGAGCAACTGGTGCTGTCCTGTGTTAAGCCTCGTAGAGGGTCAGCTGAGGGACCTAGTGCTGGCAGTAGAATGTGGGGAAGCAGAGGAGCACCTTGCATTCCTACCCTGCACTCTGCTCTTTCAGGCCACATGCAGAGCTGAGAGTGTGTCCAATGATTCTCTGATAGCCCAACTGGGTAGATAATCATACAGCCATTGGTGGGGGAACCAGAGGGAAGAACATTGGTTTAAGCTCCAACATATCAGAACAGTGAGGGTTTGATGATAGTAGCTGGGGAGCAGGGATGGGGAAGGATTCTCAACTTGAGCTTTGTTGTGGGCGGTTGTCCTGGTCACGCCCAGAGTGGGTCCTATTGTCTTATATAGTATTTGATGTACTTTATGCTGCAGCATTGTCTCTAGAATGAGACACAGCGTGGCCTGGCTTGTGGTTCAAGTGGGTAGGAGACCCCTGGAATTCCCATGACTGTGCTAGGGAGTCTCTGAGGTTAAAACTATTTTTGTAATAATACTTAGACATTATATCCTCATTCTCTCACAAGAGTACAGTGGAGTTTTCAAGGGGTTACTTGAAGTAACAATGCATTAAATACAGAAGCATATATGAGAATACAGGAATTTTTTCATTATAGCAGACAGAAAATACAGTAGATATAAAAATATAAGCTAGTATCACTCCTCTCACTTAAAAAAAAATTATTTATTTATTTATCTGAATGGCAGAGTTAAAGAGAGGCAGAGGCAGAGAAAGGTCTTCTATCTGCTGGTCCACTACCCAGATGGCTTCAACGGCCAAAGCTGGGCCTATCTGAAGCCAGGAGCTTCTTCTGGGTCTCCCACGCAGATGCTGGGGCCCAAGGACTTGGTCCATCTTCTACTGCTTTCCCAGGCCATAGCAAAGAGCTGGATCAGAAGTGGAGCAGCTGGGATTCGAACCAGCACCCATATGGGATGCTGGCACTGCAAGCAGCAGCTTTACCCACTTTGCCAAAGCACTAGCCCTTCTCTCACTTTGTTTTAGAAAATTTAAGGTAGAGTTACAGACAGTGAGAGAGAGACAGAGAAAGGTCTTCCTTCTGTTGGTTCACTCCCCAAATGGCCTATCTGAAGCCAGGAGCCAGGTGCTTCATTCCAGTCTCCCATGTGGGTGCAGGCGCCCAAGGACATGGGCCATCTTCTACTGCTATCCCAGGCCACAGCAGAGAGCTGGACTGGAAGAGGAGCGGCCGGGACTAGAACCAGCACATATATGGGATGCCGATGCTGCAGGCAGAGTATTAACCTAGTGTGCCATGGTGCCGGCCCCAGTATTTTTCTAAAAATATGTTATCATACAATGGAGTGTTATTTGGAAATGTTTTAACATCTAGGAATTTTCTGAGTTTTAATTTTTAATAAACAAAAGCTCTCTGAAGTCCTCAGTAATTGCTGACAAAGTGTAAGTGTTTCTGGCACCAGAAAGCCAGAGACTACTGTCCTGGCAGGGAGCAGTCCCCAGCAGTCAGCTCTAGTCAGGGCTTTGCTTGGCGAGTCTGCACAAGTCATTTAGCCTCTTGAGTTGACTTCTTCTGTAAATGTTAACAATTATCCTGTTCTACACACTTTACCTTAAAGAAAAGTGAGGTAATGATGCTAAAAATATAGTGCCCTATGGAAGTGTAAGGGAGTTTTACAAGTTTACAACTAAACTGATGTTGAAAGAAAATGTTAGGAATGAGTTTCTGGCGTGTGACCTGACAGGCCATTTTTTCCATCTTAGCATCACCTTCCAGCAGTCTCCTTACACATTTTATTACTTTTTTTTCCCACTTTCTCTGGAAACTCTTAATTATGAAAAGGGATTAGATAAATTATTTCTGATCTTGTCGACCATGATGGGATTTATATCCTTATTACCTTGAAGTGATGTGATAAGGTCAGAGGCTCTATGTAATTTTTTTTGAAAGGCAGAACAAAAGGGAGAGCCAGAGCAAGCAAGAGAGATCTTCCATCTACTGGTTTACTCCTCAAATGCTCCCAACAATCAAAGGTGGCCAAGTTGAAGCCAGGAACTCCATCTGGTCTCCCATGTGGGTGGCAGGGACCCAAGTAACTTGAATTGTTACCTGCTATCTCCACGGGTGTGCATTTACAGGACGTAAAGGTGGGATTCAAACTCAGGCACTGTAGGCATCCCAAGCAGTGGCTTAACCCATTGCACCCCCAGGAGCTATTTATTAACTGTGTGACTTTCGGAAAGTTATTGTTGAGGCCTGCATTGTAGTGAAGCAGGTTAAGTTGCCACTTGCAATGTTGGCGTCCCATATGGGTGCTGGTTTGGGTCCTGGCTGCTCCACTTCCAATCCAGCTCCCTGGATCCAGCCTTAAGATGATGGCCTGGGAATGCAGCAGAAGATGGCCCAGGTGCTTGGGCCTCTTGTCACCGACATGGGAGACTTAGAGGAAGCTCCTAGCTTCTTGATTTGGCCTGGCCCAGCCCCAGTCATTGTGGCCATATGGGGAGTGAACCAGTGGAAATCCCCATCTCTCTGTCTCTGTCTCTGTCTCTCCGTCTCCGTCTCCGTCTCCGTCTCCGTCTCCGTCTCTGTCTCCCTCCCTCCCTCCCTCTGTGTGTGTGTCTGTCTTTCCCTCTGTAATTTTTTCAGATGTATAAATAAATCTTTTAAAAAGAAGTTATTTAACCTCACTGTTTCTTGGCTTCCTCATCTATAAAATGGAGCTAACAGTACCTTTCTAGGGCAATTATAGATATGAAAAACTGCACAGGACTGACTAAAGCACTTGATAAATAATTCATTTTGTGAGTGATAGTTGTACTGTCATTAGCATATAACAAATGATGCAAGATTACCCTATCTTCAGTGAACTTAATAAACTACTTCATTTACAAGTTAGTTAGGAACAGTTTCCATTTTATTTCATTCTGTGTTTTTCCTTTTTGAAGGGCTTTTGAGTGGCCAGACTTCCCCAACAAATACCAAACTGGAGAAACTGGATTCTCAGCAGGTGCTGCAGCTCTGCCTCCGCTACCAGGATCACCTGCATCAGTGTGCGGAGGCCGTGGCTTTTGATCAGAATGCGCTGGTTAAACGAATCAAAGAGGTACGGAGTGCAGCAACATGCTGTGGCGGACTCATTTTGATTCCTTGCAACTCCTGACTCCTTTTCTTCTGGGCAGGATAGCCAGTGACCCCGGCTTTATGGGAAATAGTCATTCTCTATCTAAGAACTGACATTTGTTCCCACTGCTTTGAGGGGATTGTTTGTCGCAGCCTTAAAATGTGATGAAAAGAGCAGTTCACAGTGCTAGGCTAAGCTGAATTTTGAATCCTGGGTCACTGCTCTTTTGCCTGGGTGAGTTGCTTAACTTCTGTTAGTTTCAGTTTCCTTGTGTGCAAAATGGGGCTGATAATAGTAACCTACCCCAAGGGTTGAATGGCAGTGAAATTGCTTAGTAAATGGCAAACATTATTAGTATGTGTAAAGTCTTGCCATACTAATTTGCTCTAGCAGCATAATATCTTTGAATTGACTTTAGCTGTTTCCTGAGTATAATTTGTATTTTGTTTCCAGGTAGGTTATCATTTCTTTGAAAGCAGGACGTTTAGCATCTCCCTCATTACATGCAAAGCTCAGTGGTTTTTCTTGATTTTATATAGGGAAACAATTATGCTTACTTAGCTTCCATGGTTTTTTGAAGAAAGAAGCAACATAATTGGGTGAAAGTACTTAGTAAACTAAAGAGCATGGCACAGATGTTATGTAATTATTAATAACCTTAATTAAGTACTTCTTTCAAGCTCCTACATGTGTGTCATTGACCAGCGTGTTGCATGGCACAGCTCTGGGAGCACCAAGGAGTCAGGAAATACATCTCCTATAGAGCTCAGTCAAGAAGGGTTAATACTCTTGATACCTTGAAGTAGTGTCTTATAAAGGAAATGTCAGGAGCTCTTTCTTGGAAAGAACACTTACGTGAATGGCACTCCCTGGATTTGTTTAACAAAATGACCTTGGTCATTAACTCTGGTGAAAGAAGATGGATGTGAAGAAATCCACAAGTGATGGATTGCAGATCACTGCAAATTACTTTTCACTTACTGTTGGAGGTAGTGCATGCTTGGAATTATGAAGTAGTCATTAGTTATATGGACGGATTTAAATTTGCCAGCACCTCTAACATTTCAGTACTTAACTTTCATAAAATGTTTACATTTATAATGCTGTTATTTACAAAACTGTTACATATGGTCTTTCGTATTAGTTGGCCTTGATATGACCTTTCATGTGTTATTAACTTACTTCACTGTGTTATAGTCTACAAAATAAGACTTGCATCAGGATCACTTAGGCTTTTTGTTAGTTTTCGTACTGAGTTCTCCCCTCTTCCCAGTAGGTCTAGGGTGCAGTCTGTGAATCTTCAAAAAATTTTTTTATTTGGGGCCAGCATAGTGATGCAGCAGGTTAAGTGCCACCTGCAGTGCCAATATACTATATAAGATTCTGGTTTGAGTCCTGGCTGCTCTATTTCTGATCCAGCACTCTGCTCAAGCACTTGGGAAAGCAATGGAAGATGGCCCAGGTACTTGGGCCCCTGCCACCCACCTGGGAGACCAGGATGGAGTTCCAGGCTCTTTACTTTCACCTGGCCCAGCCCCAGCCATTGCAGCCACTTGGGGAATCAACCAGCAAATGTGAGATTGATCTCTGTCTCTCCTTCTCTCTCTGTAACTCTGCCTTTTAAAAAAAAATTTTTTTTTTCATTTTATTTGAAAGGCAGAGAGACAGAGATCTCCCATCTGCCAGTTCACTTACCAAATGCCTGCAATGTCCAGGGCTTGGCCAGGTTCTAGCCATGACCCTGAAACTGAAACTGAGTCACACACATGGGCACCAGGGACCCAAGTACTTGAGCCATCACTTGCTGCCTCCCAGGATATGCATGAGCGGGAAACTAGATCAGAAGGAGTGTAGCCAGGACTTGAACCAGGCACTCTGAAATGAGAGTCCCAAGCTGTGACTTATCCACTGTACCACATACCTGCCCTGAATCACTGTTTTAATAAGCTTACCAGATGATATTGATGCCATGTTCAATAACTGGAGTTGGGGAACCACTGGCCCTGAGCACTACTTTCTCACAATGGGTCCCACATAAAGATCAAACTTTTGGCATAGTCCATCACCATTTCCCTTTAGAGTCACAGTGTGTATTATCTTACTTCCTTTGAGTCTTTCAGTGAAGTAAACCACTTTTTTTTTTTTTTTTTTTTTTTGACAGGCAGAGTGGACAGTGAGAGAGAGAGACAGAGAGAAAGGTCTTCCTTTGCCGTTGGTTCACCCTCCAATGGCCGCCGCGGCCGGCGCGGTCGGCCGGCGCACCGCGCTGATCTGATGGCAGGAGCCAGGAGCCAGGTGCTTTTCCTGGTCTCCCATGCGGGTGCAGGGCCCAAGCACCTGGGCCATCCTCCACTGCACTCCCTGGCCACAGCAGAGGGCTGGCCTGGAAGAGGGGCAACCGGGACAGAATCCGGCGCCCCAACCGGGACTAGAACCCGGTGTGCCGGCGCCGCTAGGCGGAGGATTAGCCTAGTGAGCCGCGGCGCCGGCCCTAGAAAACCACTTTTCAACCTGTTTGACCTTAGAACCTTCATTTTAGATCATATCTATTTATATCCTATGGAAGTAGTGGATTTTGGAACACTTTTTGGGAAATGCTATAGTAGTCATTAGCCTTTACCATTTTTTACTATTGCTTGGGAAATTAATTAGGATATCAACAGGGAGAATATCTTAGAATAGTAAATTGGTTAGGGAGAGATCTATCTTCCGTCTGCTGGTTTACTTCCCAAATGCCTACAACAGCTAGGGCTGAGCCAAGCTAAATACAGGAGCCTGGAAGTCAATCCAGATCTACTATGTAGGTGACAAGGGCCCAAGAACTTGAGCCATCACCAGCTGCCTTCCATGGTGCCCCAGTAGGAAGCTGCATAAGAAGTGGAGGAACCAGAACTCAAACTGCTACTCCTTTATGGGATACAGTTGTCTCAAGCTGCAGTTTAACCTGCTATACCACAACACCCACCCCATTAATAGGCTTTTTGGTGCTTTGTATCTTTTTTTTTTTAAGTCCCCTAATGGCCGGCACTGTGATAGTAGGCTAAGCCTCCACTTGCAGTGCTGGCATCCCATATGGGTGCTGGTTTATGTCCTGCCTGCTCCTCTTCTTTTTATATTTTTAAAGATTTTACTTATTTGAGAGGTAGAGTTACAGACAGTGGGAGGGAAAGACAGAAAGAAAGGACTTCCGTCTGTTGGTTCACTCCCCAAATGGCCGCAATGGCCGGGGCTGTGCCAATCCAAAGCCAGGAGCCGGGTGCTTCTTTCTAGTCTCCCCTGCTGGTGCAGGGGCCCAAAGACTTGGGCCATCCTCCACTGCTTTCCTAGGCCGTAGCAGAGAGCTGGATTGGAAGAGGAGCAGCCGGGACTAGAACCTGCGCCCATATGGGACACTGGTGCCACAGGCAGAGGATTAACCTACTGCGCCAAGGCACCAGGCCCCCGCCTGCTCCTCTTATGATCCAGCTCCCTGCTAATGGCCTGGGAAAGCAGTGGAAGATGGCCCAAATCTTTGGACCCCTGCACCCATGTGGGAAACATGGAAGAAGCTCCTGGCCTCCTGGCTTCGAATAAGCTCAGTTCTGGCTGTTGCAGCCATTTGGGGAGTGAACCAGCATATGGAATACCTCTCTATGTCTCTACCTTTCTCTAGCTCTGCCTCTCAAATAAATAAATGAATCTTTAAAATAAAATAAAAGATTTTTAAGAAGTCTCCTAACCTATATGAGTTGTTTCATAATTTAGGAGAGTGGCACAAAGAGATTGACTAGCTCAATGTCAGAAAGCTGAGTAAAGTGTTCTGTAGGTGGTACAGCTAGACAGAACTTGTCATTACATGACATTTTCAAGACTTTAAGGCCGTGTTCTTTGGCCCTTAGCTATGGTAGAATCACCTACAAATTTTTTTCCTCCAGGATAGATGATAGAAAGTTTTGTACTTACACCAAAGAAGCCAAATGATCCTTCATATACTCGTTACCTAGCTACTTGTAGGTGTCAACTTGCAAACACTTCTGCTTCACACATGCCTCTAAGCATTTCTTAACCTTCTCCCTCGCTGATCTATTTTATAGTAAATTCAAGACAGGTCGTTTCATTCATAAACACATGCTTATGTATCTTTGAAAATAAGGAATTCTTTAAAACATGTTTAAATTTGAATTAATTTTACACTTAGAGAAAGATGACAGAAATAACTCAGAGACTACCTGTGTGCCTTCCATACAGCTTCTTCCTCCAAAGTATCATCTCAGTAACTCAGTGCAGCCATCAAAACCGAGGGAATTAGTACTGGTACAATGCTGTTAACCAAATGGACACCTTATTTGAATTTTACTAGTTTTTCCTCTAAGATTTAAAAATATAGCCACAATGTTGTTATACTTAAAGTATTCAATAGTTACACTTGAATTAATACAGTATGGCAGAGATACTTCTAAGAAAATACTAATATCTAAATCTCATTCCAAGCCAATTAGAATATTTTTTTTTAAAATATTATTGACTTATTCATTTATTTATTTGAAAGAGAGTAAGAGTGAGTGAGAGAGAGAGAAAAATATCTTCCATCCACTGGTTCACTCCCCAAATAGCTGCAACAGCCAGGTCTGGGCCAGGTGAAAGCCAGGAGCCAGGAACTCTGTTCTGGACCATCAAGGCTCCTGGGTGGCAGGAGCTTTTTCCAATGCCTTCCCAGGCACATTAACAGGGAGCTGGATTGGAACCAGAGCAGCCAGGACTCTTCAGTGTAGGATGTCAGCATTGCCAGCAGTGGCTTAAGCCACTGAGCCACAGCACTGGCTCAGTGAATTGAAGGGAGGAAAAGAAAGGAGTGAGAAATCCGGGTATTGGGGAAAACAGCTATACACATTTCTGGTTCAGATAAAAACTCAAAAGAATTGACCTTTGCTGTTGTTAGATTTGGGTGATGCTCTCAAATGAAAAGTTAGTAAATTTTGTGAGCCCTGAGGAGAAGGGGGGTA